CCCCTTTACAACATTAAAACTGAGATTCATGACCTTTCTGCTCTAGATCTTAAATTGTGTTTGGGTGTGAAAACGTCAAACCCCCTGTTTTTATTTTTTGTAAGTAAGTAAAAGTATTAATGTAATCCAGGATGAAGCACATGTACATGGTTTCCAAACTGAATCCTTTCTACCCTCCTGATGGGAATATAAAGAGTCACAGCAAGTCACTTTACTTCCTGTTTCTTCATTTCCTCTGCTTGAGAAATTGTTGGACTTTCACAAAACCTTTCTAAACTTAATCAGCGATGAGTTTATTGTGTCCAGTAGTATTTAAAAAGCATTTCACTGATCTGGTCATTTTAGTCAATTTGACAAATCGATTTCCAAACTTTTCTTTTTGCAGCTAGCTGTAAAGCTAAGTTGGATAGCTCAGTGCCACCAACCTTACCAGACGTTCATCATAAAACAAGATTTGGACCAACGTACACTTGGACTGCCAAGGTTTTTACAGTTGAATGATTTTGTGTACTTTATATTGTTAAGATGGAAACAAATCATTACTTCACAATATTTAGTGTTGTGGATTTACAGCTTCTATTTTCTTTCAAAATTTTTGTTTTGTTTCTTTCAAAAAATGAACCTATAGCTAAAGATAAACATTTATTTTAATAATTGAAATTTTGAAATATTGAACAAACATATAGATGTTTAATGTTGTTTTCAACCTCCTTAAAGGTCCGATTTGATCTTTTTCATATTTCTGTGAAATCTTCAATGGCGAGCCACCTCTGACACCAGAGCCGTTTGTGAAGAATTACCCAGGCCTTCTGAGTCAGTAGTACCTGTGGATTCTGAAAGAACGGATATGGACTCTGTTTTCTGAACATATTTGATTTTTTTAAACTAAACTGAACTGAAGACAAAACTGTAAATGGATGAGTAAATAAAATGAACCCTGGTATTAACTGTTCCATTAAAGATAATCTTCTAGTAACTAAACCCAAAGGCCTATTTTAGGCCCAAATCTTTTACATATGAATATTCAATGCTTGTTATTTAACTGTTTTACAAATCGGTAATTAATGTTGATTCTGGGGATGTTCTGGTTTGTTCATTGGTATATTTTCTTAAAGTGAGAAAATTGAGGGCCAGTTGGATATTAAGGGTCAACTGTGGCCCTTATGTCTGTCCAGGTTTTATCTCTATAATTTACAGCTGCTGATGGAGATATACTAGTTTTAGAAAGCTCTTATCAATAAGACCTTAGAAATCACAGCCATTTCTGATACTGTTGAGGAACAAATCAGACACTAACATTTAACCTGATGATGACTGGCGAGAGCTGACAGATGGGAAACTGGCTGTTTGAACGACTGGTCCATATGCTGTTTGAAGGAGAGTCGAGAAATGAAGAACAAACATGATAGAACGTTGAAGACTTCCTGCTGATAGCCAGCGATCAACAAGAAGGAATGTTGGTGAGAGAGCGTGATTAGAATAAAGTCTGATAAAAACAAAGCAGGTTCAGTGTTCAGCCTCAAGTGGTCACAACAGAAAGACAACTCAAATAAAAAGTTTTGTCCTGCAGGAGAGAGACAAAGTTCTTTTTGTCCATTCTGGATACATACGGTTACGGAGAACCAGATCCATTTATGTTGGTAGAAAATAGGAGAGGTGGCAAAGGATGGGAGGTATTGATGGATGGATGGGTGGAGGGGAAGTAGGGGGTGGGCCACAAAAATAAACCCAGCTCCCATCTGATGAGCAGCTTGTCCATAATTCTGAGCCCCTGTTTCATGCCAAGCCCGCTTCCTGATACAGAAGCCTGACAAAAACAGACCTTCTGAAAAAAATTCCCTTTTTGTTCATTTGACCCGTAAACTGCCACCTCCATCACCCCCCAAACAAACACACGCATACACACACACAAGCATACATGTGCGCACACACACACACACACACACGCACGCACACTTTATATTTACTCTGTTTTTTTGACCTAAAACATTTCTACTCTATCCCAAAGAGAACCAGTTGTTTTTATTCTTTCTCTTTTCTTTCTCCACCATGCAATGGTACAAACAAATTCAAATAAAATCGGCAGAAAAAAGATGTGTGTGTTCATCCCTGTTGCAGCCAACAGCTACAGGACAGATGATGTGGCCATCTTGAGATCGTTTGTCATCTGTCGGGCAGAGTTGACCTTGCAACGCCTGCCGACCGTTACACTGATATCATCTTTTATGGTGAGAAAACACACACACACACACACTCAGACACACATGCAAAAAAAATAAAATAGATACGGAATAATGGAAGAAGCCAGATAGATTGAGAGAGAGAGAGAAAGAGAGAGGCGGCTGTTGTTTTCAGTAATAAAGACAGCATTTATGGCTTCCCCTTCGCACTGCCAGTTAAAAGAGAAACAAAAATGGAAATCCATTACGGAACGCTTCTTAAAAGTGTGACCAATCCTTGTTCAGTCAATTAAAGTCTGGAGACGGAGAATATGATGTTTGTCTGTTTAGCCTTCAATGCATACAGATCAGCCTGGATTTGATGATGGAAAGAGACTTTTTTCCCTCAGTCATAGAGACAGCGAGGAGGAGAAAAAAAAGAGAGGGATGGAGGGGCAGTGCAGCCAAGCTCTGCTTATCTCTTTTCTTCTCTTTCGCTTTCCTGCTTCAGCCCATCTCACCCCCCCTCCACCCTCCCATCAATATACAAAAGCATTAATGTGCGCAGCTATGTGCTCTGCCATTGTTCTGTGTTTAAATGCTCAGAAAGGGACGTTGTTTGTGTAACTGGCAGAGTTAGCGGTGCACTGCCGCGTCCAAAAGCCTGTACTTAAAAGTTGCTGAGCAGAAAATAAAAAAAAAAAAAAAAGAAAGGAAAAAAAATAGGGCGCATTAAAAGAAGCGATAGCGAAGCAGTTAACAAGAGTGGTTACCCCGGAATGAGCGGGGATGAGGTTTCACATTAAAACAGATTTATCTTAAAGTATAGTGCTAATCCCCTTCAGTTTTAATCCCACCCCCCTCCTCCCAGTCCTTCCCCTACTACATCATTTTCATTCCTATCAAGGCATATTAAAAGAAGAAGCTGTTTATGCTAGGCGTCTTGATTTTTTACAAGGATTCCTGGCAAGTGAATCATGGAGCTCGAAGGACTTGTCTTTCGAAAAAAATAAAGGATTATTAGAAGTAGGGATGGGCAACAATCGTATGGCTAGTTGTTGTGAAAAAACAATCGTGATAGCAGTTAGCTGACTAGCATTAGCTCCGGGTCAACTCATTACCTCACCAGTTTGTACACTCATTTCATACTTGAGAGTTCCCATTTGATCATTTTCTACTTAAATTCAAACCATTTAATTTTGCCATTATACTATAGTATATGGATCTATCGTTTGTTATAGCTAGAAAGTGTTTGAAAACTTTATTACTCTCGATCTCATTTTTTAATTATCCCGTTTGGTCCAGTTATCTTTCATGAAATAGGGCAGTTTCTTTACCGTACAAGGTAGCAACGTTTCCAATGTTCAGCAGATTTTTCTGCCCAAATTTCACAATTTTGATTTGGTTTTCGGCAATTTTGAAAAAGAGTTAAACGAAATACATTTGCCGAAAAAGTTCTGAGATTGCAAACTTTCCCAGTCCAAACGTTCACCTCAGAGGGGCTGTCAGCACGGCGTGGTCAGCGAGAGACCCTTCAGGCTGGGATGGGAGTGGTGGAATGCTCCCATCCACTAGTGGGTCTCCACTTCACAGGAGGAACAGAACTCTGAAAAATTTCCAAGTCCAAACATTCAGCTCGGAGGGGAGGACCCTCTCCATTTTGTTGCAAGCTTATGGTGGCAAAAACATCCATCATAAACTCTACTTTATAATTCATGAGGTTTGTTAATATTTCAACATGCTAAAGTAAAGTAAAATATATATTTTACTTTACTAGATTTTACTAGTAAACTTTAGTAGAAACTTTACTTACAAAGTTTCCAAAGTTTTACTGCCAAAGTTTGACAGTTATTTGTGTCAAACTTTGGGATCAACTGAATGATGACCTCAAATTATGTGCTTTTATATTGAGCTTTAAAAAAAGCCTTAAAATGTAAACTTATAAGAGACTATACTATTATGTATATGTATGTGTATATTGTGTAACCATATATGTATTTAATGTCAGTATTTGCATATACGTATATACATGGATATTTAAATATAAATGTATGTATGTATGTATGTATGTAAGAATATGGACATTATCTTTCATTAATGTCGACTGCAGAGTCTCTGAGTAGGGTGGGCAAATATAATCCTTTTCTTCAGCCTATTTCTTTATTGGTAAATTATTGGTTTGTAAAATAGCATTTTACTTTTGTCCCCTGTTTTAAATGTCAAATTTACCAAAATAAAGCTCTTTTATGATCATCAAACCTATTTTATGATGAAAAACTACCAGTATGATTAGGCTGGTAAGATTTTAAAAGTTTTCCACTGCTGGTCGAATGAGGCCATCCATAAATGTTGTGTTTTGTTTCAAAATATGACCGAATGCAATTATGATGCATGGTTCAGCAGCATAACTTGCACTACTCAGTATAGATGTTTTAGTAAAGGACAGTTTGATCAGTTTTATTCTATTACATTCTGTTATACTCTTAAATATCTGTTTTTCATGTCAATAGTTTCATTGAATAAATGAAACTCTAGCGTAGCCTCACAGTGCTGTCAGTACTGTGGTACACAGCTTGATAACCACATCAACCAGGCTGCCACAGATTCTTTAATGTCAGAAGGTTTTACCACATGTGCCACTGCTATGGTAGTGACTCACATACTGCAACAATAATCTATTAATAACATAATGTATTTCACACTGTAGTATGCACTCAGCTGGCATACTAAATACTTAGTGAAACTGATGGTAACTTTCTGTTGAACTTGAATAATACTTATTTGACCACTTGGAGGCACTCTACTGAAATCTCTAAGGGAAATTTTATTTCCAGGCAGACATCTGATCCATATGTATAAAAAATATATAATTTCAACAACAGGTAACATACCCAGGTCTGATGCAGCCGTTTCCACACCTTTGATCCCATTATATGTGCACTACTCAGGAAAAATCTGATATTTCCTCACATCCAGAATCATATATCATGTGTTTTTTCAATATGCATACAGAGCAAGTCAGGGTTAGAGATATTACTTGGGTTTGACAGGCTCATAAAATCTGCAGTTATAGATTTAAATACAGCTTAACTATTAAACTTTTTACTTGAATAGAAACCACAAAGCATTAGAATGAAAGTTTAAGACTGTGTTACCCATCACTAATTGGGAGAAATAAAAAAAAAGTTAAAGCAATACAGTCGGAGTCAGAGAGGGGGCAGTGGAGGAGGCCGAGGAGCGCGCCGAGTGTCTGATCTGATGCGACCTATTTGACGACTGTCATGCTGGATGGCGACGGCGGTGGTGATAGGTGGTGGAGGGGTGTTGTCATGCTCTCTGTCACACTCGGCTGTGTCACACGAGCTGGATGGATGCCTCTGTCCACTGCAAGCTGCTTGAATGAGGAAACATATGGGTGCACGAGAGCCTCGGCCCACCTCATGAATATTTGATTCATATTTCCTGTGTGTATGGGCAAGAAAAATAGAGAGAGAGAGAGAGAGAGAGAGAGAGAGAATGGAGGAAGAAAGAGGGAAAAAAGGAAGGATATTTCTTTCTATTTCTCACTTGTCATTTCAGAAAAAGCTCACAAGGCTTACTTTGTGGCATTCTAATCATAATTGCCAATCCTGAATACAAATCTCTCAGCGCCAAACATGCCGAGTGAAACTGAAATGACAAAATGAAGCTCATATAACGGTGTAATCAAAGTTACATTCAGGAGAAAAAGGATAAGCGCGGGGGGGTGGGGGGGAGTTCTTCCCTAACCAGCAGGAGATGAGGATCAGGGGCCAGTTATTAGCTCGGCCAGGAACAAAGGGCCCCAGTGTTGCAAGGTGGCTTATGCCTCAGACAGTTACTGTACCTTTCAAAACTAATATGTAACCATATCTGTTTTAAAAGGATGATTCATATTACTGTGAATTCATGGGAAAACTTGTTCCCATCTCTGTGACCCAGGAAACACAAATCCCACTTGTCGTAAGCCCCCAACACACACACACACACACACACACACGCACACACGCACACATGCACACACCCACCCCCACACACGCGCGCGCGCGCGCGCCTACACGCGCACCTACACACACCCTCAACACACAGACACATTCATTTCAACTGCATGCCTGGCCTTTAACAAAAAATATCCCATTTAAAAAGATAGGCACATTAAATTTTTGTTATGATGTCAAATATCCTCAGCTTTTTTTGACAGAACAATGGAGCTGATTGTGCTTTAATGCTACTGAGGCGACTGGAAAAGGTCAGCGCGGGCGTGGCTGGGCGCACAAGGACGGCACTGACTGAAAATTGGGTTATATGTGATCAACTAAGTTATTAATCAGATTAAAATGGATTCCCTCTGCCTGCTGTTTAACTAGGCAAGAGGGAGGGAGGGGAGGAAAAAAAAAGAAAGAAATAAAGACGGCGCAAAGAGGGACAGAGATGCAGAACAAATAGGCCAGTGTTTACACATCCAAGAGCAAAGAAAGCCATTGTGTTGGGAAGCGCTCGCAGATGAGTTCCGATAAGGGCCGGGGCCCTTCGGAACATCCCGGCGCATGGAACCCGGCTGTCTAAAAGCATGTGCCCTTGCCACAGATGCCCCCTCGTCTCATCCAGGTAACCTCTCTAATCCTGATTAAATCACTGTAATTAGAATAAGCAGCGTTCCTCCACCCCCATATTTCCCTAATAAAACAATGCAGCCGTTTAAATCCAGTCGGTGGGATTTGCAACGCAACAATGCAGTTTATATCCATCTCTGCTAAGGAATTAAGTGTATTTTCTAACTGCTAATGTTGTAACGTTGCGGGGTGATTTGTTTCGACGCTCGCTATTCTTATTCCCCCTGCGGTTTTGTTCCCCCCCCCCTTTTCTCTCCCTCCCCAACTTTATTTATTTGGCTCTTATTTATTTGCTTGTCTGCGCTTTTTTTTTTTTTTTTGATGTTAAATCAAACAAGATTTTTTTATTTTTTATTCTTTTAGCAAGTAGTCGGGATCATTCCCTGCGACAGGGAAATAACGCAACTTATTTGTCCTTAATTGCCACAGAGCTTTTCAAACACAGCAACTTGCCGCCTGTGCGTCTCTACCTGTGTATATTTTTTTGTTTTTATTAGTATCGCGGCACGGCTCCATTGATGTGGAATCGCAGAGGAAATAAAAGTTGACATAGTTTCTTCGTTTTTTTATAAAAAAATTTTTCCGTACCCCCACAATCCCTTGTTTTCCTCTCCGCTCTGACTTGCTCTCTGTTGTTTTTTATATATCTGTATTTTTCCTTGAAGTTGCTGCGGCATTGTCTCATTATGTGTCGACTTGCTTTGTAAGTGTAGTTATTATGCCTGCGTGTCTTTTCCTGGCAGTGCTGTTTTCTTTCAATCTCTCTCTCCTTTCTCTCTCTCTCTCTAACACACACACATACACGAGCGCGCACACACACACACACAATGTGCTGTCTCTCTCTGTTTCTTCCTCGGAGGATGAGGAGCTTTATGAGTACAACTCCTCTGAGGCATCCTCTTCACATCTCCAGGGCGCCTGGGGAAGGGAACGTTGCATTCTTAAGAGGAGCAACTCAAACTGAACAAAGTCTACAGGAGTCAAGGAAGAAAAGCAACAAACAGCAAACTAACGAGATGGGAAGCAGAGATCATGTCAAATATATCGGGTTAGAAGGCTAATTTATAACCCATTGTTTAATGTTTTCCAATATCAAATACTCTGCAAACTCGCGGTGGGTGCAACAATATATAGACATGAAAGCGCTTTATTTGCACAAATATATAAACTCACATACGTATGCTTTCTGTGACTGTTCTCATGCTGGTTTCTCCCCATCCCGTCTCTGTAACACTGAATGGAATAATTGTCATGCAACTTTGCAATCATCCACCATTCGTCTCCATTTTTCTTATCAAGCGCAACTCGATCCTGCCTCTCATTCACTGCGCTGTACTTACAGGAAACACGATGTGACCGATATTATTGGTGGTATTAGTAAGAATGGCTGAGAAAAGCCAAGAAAGGAAGAATAAGATGCTGTTTCAGATAGAAGCTTTCAGCAGCCCACTGATATATGGGAATTAGTAAGTGGGGGGGAATATTTTTAGAGAGAGAGAGCAACAGGTTTGCAGCTTGACAACAGCTATTACGTTTGATTGCTCCTTGAAAACTACACTATTTTGCTCTTTTGGGTGACAAGGTGATAATGCACCTCTGCACAAGTTAAACTGGTAATATCACCGCACGTGGGAAATAGCACCTTGCCTTCACCAGCCGTCAGAACTGTCACTCCGGCACGATGGAGGTGCACAATGAGAGCTTGGGGAAGCGCATCACAAACAGTAGTCTTCCTCTCAGTAAAACACAGACACACACACACACACACACACACACATGCAGACATACAGACAGAGAGACAGACATACAGGCCTCCAGATGGCTTAATCACTGGAGGAGCCCATGCCCTCAAGCAACAAGCAAAAGAAAGAAAGACTTGAGAGTGAGAAAAACAGAAAAAGGATGGATCCTGGAGTGTGGGAAAGTGAAATGCAGGAATTTAAAGGAGGAGGGCGGGGGGAAAGAAGGGGACACCAGTGAGCTTGTATCGGTCCGAACAGAGAAACATCAGTTATTTCCATCTGGGCACTCAGATGTTGGTTCAAGTTTTAAACAAGTTAGACTGGTTACCAAACAAAAAAACAAAACAAAAAAAAAAACAAAAAATGGCTGAATTGGACATGACTAAACTGATCTGGTGGGGAAAAAAGAAGGGAAACTGGACAATCGTTTTTTTGTTTTTATTGAAATGTTTAGAAAAGTTTTAGATTCTGGAGTCCGTTTCATGTTTAGTAGTATAATGTATCTCATCTTTAAAAGGGTAAGGTTCTGTGAAAGAGTATTGATATGTTGAGACAGATGGCTTAATTAGATCGTTTAATAAAAGAAATAAAAAACAAGAGAAACGTGAACATGTTACAATGATTTTATTGATCCTGCTCACAGTCATCGGGTAAATTGGGGGACTGCAACTAATTGAGCAAATTTTCCCAATATCGAAGAAAGTCGTACATGTAAATTTTGGTTTACTTGCATTCATATGCAAACTTGCGCGTGAAAACTTGTGCTAGGGTAAACTATTCAGTTAGTCATGACAAATAAACCATTTTGTCAACAAAGATTACACCAATTAATCTAAAATGGATGCCTTTAGAAGTTTGGAGGAGGAATCCAGAAGAAAACCATGGAAAGATGACATAGCCCTGTCAGAAATGTATAAAAGTTATGCAAGTTTCATAAATTATGTCTCTTGATGAGAGCTAGCTAAAGGTTTTGTAACATTGATGTAGTCACCTGTCGCAAAGATCGTGCATTAACAAAAGCTTGTAACAGCATATTTGTCATACATTTATAAAGCATAAAATAGCGGAGCAAGAGCCCTTTTTTTCACTAACGCAAACAAAACAGCAATTATTAGGAGAACTACAGAGTATACCATAAGAGTCCTTGATATACTGATGGGTCTAATTGAACACATCCAAGCATTTCCCTGGCTTCTTTCTTTTGCCTACTCCTCTAATTCTAAGAGGTGCTCAGCTATGAGCGCTGCCATTTTCTGCTCTAAAATCCTCAGAGCACGACGCTCTCCAGCTTGTCAGTCTCAACCTTCCAAAGTCCCACACCACATTTAATATATTAAGTGAACAAGGGGGTTGAGGTAACGTGAGTAATACAACGTGAGGAGCAATGTTCGCAAGCAGACCTGGCATGTACAGCACCGTTTGAATAATGTAATACTTCATGTTTGATAATGCATGGCTATAGATAGGTCTACAGCGCAGCCAAGTATTGATTGTGTTAAGCACACCTAGAGTACAGCAAATGGTGTGGGTATATATCAATCTTTACTATGAACTGTACTTAAGTAACCAGATACCTTGTCTGATTACAGAAACCTCAGGGCCACTGATGCTGCTAATGACATTTATTGATAAACCTAATTTTCAGGGCCAGTTTGAGGCGAGCTTTAATATCACAGACAGGTTGAGTGTGTTTGTGTAAATCCTCACATCTTCATCTATATCTGTTAAGAGTCAAAGCGCAACTAGACTCAAGTATATTGTGGCCCGTTGTGCCTCCTCCGGGCATACTAATGAAGAAGCGGTCAGTCCAAACGTGCAACGCGTGCCCTACGACGCTTCCCGCACATTCAGGGGAGAATTTCGATATTAATGATTTATGCCATATTTGCATACAAACCTAATGCAAACCCACTCAAGATAATCACATTTTGCCAGGTCTGAATTGAGTTTTACAGACGTCTGCACTACTACCCCCACCTTCTTCTTTTTTTTTTCCACCCACCATGTAACAGTGGAATGTCTGTCTCTCCTTTTTTTTTGTTTTTTTGTTCAAGCTGCGGGTGACCCCCCCAACACAAGGGGTTTACAAGTGGACACATAAAGAAGGACTGTAATAGTGCATTTTACTGAGACAAGTGTGCCTATTATTTCCCTTCCAGCCACGCAGCTTTAGCGTATGAACCAGGACCGGCAGAAACAGGAAGGATAATAGCACACACTGACAGTGTTGTCAATGAGGATGGTAAAAATGTTATTTTGTCCTGAAAACACTGTATCCATGCTCTTCCCTTATGCTTCTATTTCAACTCATTTCAACTAGTTGAAATATACAACTCAGATGTTTTTAGAGAACATCTGATGATGACTGCGACCAAACCGAGCTACCAGTTGCAGTATATTTCACCCGAATACAGAAATACAATCAGAAAATTGGAATTTTTGCAAATCTTATCAGTTAAACATAAACTGAAGTACTATAGATTTAAAAAAACTAAGTGGACAAGAAGAGACCAGATGCACTGACAGTTAATGACTATTATGGCCCAGCAGTTTGCCAAATAAATGAAAAAAAATTAACAGTTAATGTGAAGTATCTTATACAGAATTACTAAAACACTTATGAACCTTATCACTTAGAAGTGATTTTTTTCTCACCTTTAATCAAAATCCTGTTTATATCTGGAAAACAATTTATGTTGGACCCAATTTATGGTTTTGCTTTTCAAAGTTATTTCATATTATTGCAACACAAAGTTTATGCAATTTGTGAAATAACTAGCGTTATTGAAAAGCTGCACAAGTATTTCCAGAGCTTCGTCTTGGAGAAGCTAAATAATCACTTTTATCTCATTTACATTCTAGGACTTCTAAAAAAGGATTTGATGTTACTCATGTTCACTATAATGCCTCAATGTGATTATTAGTGCAGTGTAAAAAAAAAAAAAAAAAAAGCCTGAAATTCAAAGTTAAATATTCGTAATGGCGAACACAGCTATCCACTTTACATTTCTAGCTTCCAGATTAATGCGTGTATGAAATTTAGGACATTCTGCTACAAAGGCTTTCTCTCTTTTTAAGAATACTTCGTAGTCACTATTATCTTATTTTCTTGTGCCCATAAATAATGAGTTTGCTGTCTATTTGCAGCCATTTAATTTCCTTTTTGCTTTGGACATAACAAAAAAATATCAACATTTTTATTAAAACCAATGAATCCCTTGATTGACATTAACTATGTGTCACTAGCAGAGGACTTAGGGATACTGATGACCAACAACACTCGTTTTTACTCTCTTTTTATACAGACACTCGGCAACCAGCGAGCACTGGAAAGAAAATAGGGAGGGTGAGATAAAAATACTTTTTTTTCTTCAGTTTCAAGGATCAGCTATAACCTTAGCAGAATCATGAAAGCTGACAGTTCATTTTTCACAGGGTCATAGATCGACGAATCTTATAAAGTAATGGGCTTTTGGGAGCCGGCTTTATGAGGGCTAAGATGGTTAAGAGACATGTGGAGGAGATGGTACAGGGAACTGAGGTCCTGCTCTGACTCATCCAGGGTTATTCCCCCCATGCTGAGGAGCAGGAGGGAGGAACTGCACTCCCAGTAATATAAACGTGTAATAAAGATTAATCTGTTGCTAGTCGCCAGGCTGATAGCTTCTAAACTTGCTTGAAATAAGGCTCAAATCACTTCAGGGCCAATCTTGAGATATTTAGTGAGTGTTTGGGACTACCTTTGTGGGTGTCAAGCAAAAAATAAAGAGTTTATGCATTTGTGAGCTTTGGGGTTTATGTGTATGCAGTGGTGGTGCAATTTAATCTACCTTATAAATTTTGTTTTATGCAGGTATAAGGCTTTTGTTTTTGTGAGGTTGTTTGTAAATGTGTGTGTGTGCTTTCCAGTATTAACTATGCCATGAGGTGTCACACATGCTCACCGGTTCCATCAGACCTCTTCACACCGCCCGTGATCGATCCGCCACTTCCGCCTCCCAGGCCGTTGAACGTAGGGGTGGAGTCGTTACTGTAGGCTCGGAGGACAGACAGCATAGTCATTTGCTGCTCTAGGTGGGCCTGCGGATCAGCCTTCAAAAGTCCTGATGCACCGTCCGAGGACAGGAGGCCCAGGCCCTGCTGCCACTGCTTGTCCAGCGCCAGGGTTTGGTTCTGGGCTTGGGGAACCAGAGACAGTGGCTTTGTGGTGGTGGAGGACGCTGGTAAACCAGCATTGCTCATTAGAGTAAGAGAAGAGTCATCTTGCAGCTGTTTAGCGTGAGACTGGCTGTGGTCAGAAACAGGACTGCCTTCTTCCTCTCTCTCCAAATCCATTTGATCATCATCATCTCTTTCCTCCTCTTCTTCGGCCACTCTACCGTCATCATCCTCTTCCTCAGAGTTATTCTGTAGCTGTGGTCTCTTTGGGGTGTTTGAAGGGGTCCCACATGTGCTGTGCTCCCCAGCTTTTGTGATTTCTTCATCTGATCCAATGCGGTCATACTCAGTATCTCCACAGGAACCCCTGTCACCAATCTGGTCATCCACAGCTGACGGTGTTCCTCCAATGACCTGATTGTGCAGTTCCAGTCCCTGCTCTGCTATATAACCTTGAAGGCCTGGGGTAACTCTTGAAGAGCCATCATATAGACCACCGAACCTCCTGAAGAAATCACTTTGGAAGGGGTTGTACGGTTGGTCGATGTGGTTGTTCCAAACTCCGTGGATTTTCTCACCATCTCTGTCTCCTTCTCTCTCCAGCGCCAAAGCAGAGCTCTTGATATTGGAAGAATGAATGGTAGAGTTGGTGGGAAGACCCTCCTGCTGAATCTCTTTGCCGGCATCAGCCCGCTGCATTTGGGCTTTACCCAGGTGGTTAGCTTGAAGGTGTAGAGCCATGAGCTCCAAAGAGGAAGTAGAGAAAGAGCAGAAGAGACAGCCATGCCAAGCCACGTTATCGTGAACAGTGATTGAGGAGCCAGGCAGGGATCCGGGTCCAGACTCAGGACGTACTGATACAGAAAGATCGAGCGGTTCATACTGGGACCCAGGCTTTCCAGTCTCTGAATGCTTTTTGACTTCTGGTTTGTCATCTTTCTCCTGGTCACTTGAGACAATACGTTTGGCTTTGGGCTCACCGTTATCATGGTAGCGCTGAATTGGAAGCTGGACAGGGTTGTGGTTGTCAGCAACATCTTTCTTCATAGAGCTGAGGACAAAATTGTCCATGAAAGCTTGGAGAGAACCTTGGAAGTGGACTCCGTTCCCTATCATACTTTGGTAAGCCCTGCTTAGGTCGGAGAAACTGGCGGCACTGTCAGCCGCTGAAACAATGGGGGATTGGCCATCCGGAGTCTTCAGGTTCTCGGATGAATGGATCGAATCAAAACGCCGATCCCCACGATCACGATCTCGTTCGTGTGGCGCTATGATACCAGCCGATGCCCACTGATGTGGCAGCAGCGGACCAGCTCTGAAGTCCAGATTGGCTGGCATGCCCTTGAAAACATTACGGAGTACATCTGGTCGGGCAAAGATGCCACTACCTGCTTTCCCAGAATCGTCTTTATGGTCTGAAGATGTGTTGTGGCCAGAGGACGAGCCTGATGTGTTGGAGCCGTTTTGACGTTCACGATGGTGGCGCTCCAGGTGGTACTTCAGACTGGCAGACTGGGTGCCAGCATAGTCACAATGAGGGCATCGGTAGGGTTTCTCTCCTGAGAAGCCAAAACAGAGACAGAGAGCGAGAAAGAAAAAGACAAGGAAAACAGTGAATAATTAACCTGCTTATTACATTAATTCTGTATCAAAATCTATTTATTGGAGCAGGGAAAGTGGACCCTAGGGTCATGTAACCTCCCTCAACAAAGAAAATTAGGTCAAATGAGCTCACCAAAAAGATATGCATTTCATTAACCACTAAGAGAAAGGATATTAGTTCATATTAAAAATGTCAGCTTTCGCTAAATGAAAAAAAAGATCGCTTTTCAAAGTAGAAGGAAGTTTGAGAAACATATAAATACTAAAACAAAGAAAAGAAGAAAAAAAAAAAGCTACAACTAATGAACCAGAAAAGTCTTTCAATCAACAACAGCTACCACTGACTGGAAGTCTTTTGTCTTCCAGTCAGCAGTCCATCGCCGCCTGATGTCTATATAAGTGTTAATGTGCTTGTGTTAGGACAGGAGCCGGCCAGTGATCATGAGCTGATCCAGCTTCACCAAGTGAGCCATCACTCATATCAACACCATAAAGACGTTTCACTATTGGCTGCTTTCACTTCACTGGTACAGATGATAATTTCATCTGAGAACAAAACTATCTGAATGTTATCTGTTCTTCGAAGGGTGTGACTAGACCTGTATTTATAACAAAATATGCGTGTGTGTGTGTGTGTGTGTGTGTGTGTGTGTGTGTGTGTGTGTGCGCATGCGTGTGTGTGTGTGTGTGTGTGTGTGTGTGTGCGTGAGCCTGTGTGTGTGCGTGTGTTTGGAGTGGGGTCACTGTCTCTGTTCTCTTGCTTTGTTTGCTTTCAGGCGTGTGCCTTGGCAGTGAGAGTGTAATTTCTCGGACATTCCCCATTTGCAGCTTCTCCTGTGGGGTGGGGGGATGTTGGGATGTGTTTGCGTGTGTGCGTGTGTGTGTTGGTGGGAGGAGGTGGAGGGCTCTGAGAGTAATGCAACCCTGACCACACTGCAGCGAATCAAATAAGAATACAAACTAGGCTAAACTGCTATGTAAAAGTAATAAAAGGACGAGGGGAAAATTGCAGGCAACACATGCGGACCACATGTCTGTTTGGAGCCCGGTGATAAAGAACAATATGATTCACTACAGAGGATACAGATGAAAGTGATTTATATTACAGTAAAAGACGGAGGAATCTGTTCTGTAACATCTACATGTGTTTATTTATGCTTCACATCCATATTCATGGATATTCCTGATGATGGTTTAACTCCAGCATTATTCTGCCTGTAGTAGATCTTCCATAGGAATGATACTTATGTTGAAATAGAACACATCCTGCTAGCAATTATAATAGGCTTGGCGTCTGAGCCAGATTTGGATTCATTAAACAATGAACAAAGAGGGAAAAAATGCTAAGCTTGATTTTTTTTTCCTTTCTTTTTTTTTTTTTTTGAAACACATACATATAAAAAGTTGCCAGAGTGGAATTTCTGTAAGAGGGATAACAATAACTGTGTGTAAAGGCATGCAGATTGGAGGAAAAATAAATAAAGGGGGAATCGGATGGCTGTAATGTGTTGTATGCGCATTCTTTCTATATATTTAAAGTATATGCCAATAAAATATTTAGATTATACGCATGGAAAACATTTCATAGAGAAGAAAAAAAGCATTGTTACGCAAGGCTGGTTTGAATGATTTAAGTCGGGCTGTGTAGTAAATCATGGATATAATTAGCAAATGGCATACTGCTCAAGTAATTTATCATTATTTAGAGGGCACCATTCCAGAAAAAGACTCTGTGATCTGCAGACCTACTGCAGAGTTCTCAAATAAAGGGCCACAAACACCAACTCAATAGAATATTGATATGGGAGAGAAAAGAATAGGGGGCTATACAAAAGAAAATTGAAGGTGGAACTGCTGAGGAGTGTAAAAAGAAAGAATAAGAGAAAAAAAAAGCAAAGAAAGGAGAAGGAGAGCATGGAGAGAGACAGATAACCCTGACTGGAGAAAGAAAGACAATGATTTGATATCTTTTCTCTTACAGCAGAGTGTCTGTGAAGCATAGAGTATATTTAAAATAAACCATACGAGATGAGCTTTTAACCCAATAAGTGCTTCTCCTGTGAGCTGCCGAACAGAGGCTCAGTGCTGATTTAATAAGGAAACGTCCCTGATGCAAATGATCATTCTCAATTCCTCTAACTGGACAAAATGATATTCTAAGAGCCAAATTAGACAGAAATTAGACTGATAAGATTTTTTTTTCCATCCTCTGTTTTTTCTTCCCTAATAAGACATTGTTAATGTTTAAGGGGAAAATAAAGATTTATATGCACTAACAAGGTATACAGTCACTCTCAAATACGTACACACCCCTGTTCATATACATCATTTTTGACCTATAATGGAACATCTTGAGGGTGCAAAAAGGCTTTTTTTTTTTTAAGAAAACACAAATACTTAGCTTAAGATTCCCCCCAACCTTGACGTAGAATGTGCTATGATTTGATAAAACCAAAGTTGAATATTTTGTCAGATAAATAACAACAAAACAATGCCATATCCAGAGTGAAAATCAATCAATGGAATGGCTATATCAACTGAAAATAAAGTTTTGAAATGCTCCCGTTAGATTTCCCCCCAAGAGGGCTGTGGGTAAGCGATGTCATCACAATCTGCTAGATTTGAAGAAATCCTTGTAGGTAAATTGGCCAAATTAAAATGTAATGGCTAACAGGCTACTACCAAACACCTCTAGTTAGATTTTTCTTTATTTTTTTTTTTTTTTTTCGTCCTCTAACAGAGGTGAATACCAGGGGCGTGTACACTTTCTTTTTACATCCAGTGTATCTAAAGTGACAAACATTCCAAAATTTTTTACACATGACCCCATCCTACTGATGCTTATAGGGCAAGGCGAGCTGAAGGCAAAAACAAATGTTCAGAGTGATCCGTTTCTGTCCGTTTCCCATTAAAATTAAGCACAGGACTATCTGGAGCAAGTGAAACAGATGACTTGTGCATTTCTGCCTCTCCTTGTGTTTATGGACGTGTGTGCACACCATTTGGAATGTGTGTGAACACATGTTTATGCATGCGTGTCAGCTCAACACTGTGTGTGTGTGTGTGCGTGTGTGTGTGTGTGTGTGCTTGTGTGTATAGGCGTGTGTGTTTGTGTCTTAGAGAGCCATTTGGACTGGCTAAGACATCTGCTCCATCATACGTCAGGGGCCTGGTGTGACATCTGGGGAATATACTGTATCCTGCCTTGCAACATTACACACAATTTACTGCTAAAGGTCATTATGTACCCGTTAATCCACTTTTAATTGATATCAGCCAAACAGCACAACTTCCCAGGCACATGACAGATCATTCCTGCATCAAAGCCAGGAAACTGCTTTATGGCATTTAAAAATAGATTGGTCAACTTTTCATAGTTGTTAGTTTGTTAGACTATTTTTTTATTTATTTTTAATATTAAATAGATGGATAGCACAGATAGAACATTTTGTTAGCTGTGACATGGTTTGAAATGATTCAGAGATATGCACTGTTAAGATGTTGACTGGCTGTGACCAGTTTCGAGTCTTTTAAATCAATATGCCATTGAACGTTTGAACCTAAAAGGTTTAATTTTCTTTAATTAGCACAAATTAGTAAAAAAAATAAGTAAATAAGGCACAGATAATATTATTACACCTGTCATAATAAATACACTATGTTTTCAGCTGTGCATGAGGATCTATCCATGGGGATATTTTTTTACCTTTTTGTTGGAAAAAAACCTCCAAAAAACAAAAAAATCTAAAAAAAACAACAACTTGTATTTTAACATTTTTGTGTAAACACCTAAACCTTTTCACAGAAGGTTAAAGTATCCTGAGAATATGTGTCCATGCTTACTGCAGAGGGGGAAATTATTGTGGCACAACTGACAGGCAGTGGCGTAAAAAATGGGTATGCACAACATGAGTCGCATAGCGGCGCTGCGCTGCGCTAAAGAGGTGGAAATATTATCATATAATATGGCCAATAATGTGTCTGCATACACCTCAGTATACAGTTGAGCACCTGCTGACAGAAAACTGGGAAAGGATTTTTAGTTTAGCTAGAACAATGGAAACATTTGGTTTATGTCATAGTGACAATGAGGAAGAGTTGCTTAATTAAGATGTGTTAATGGAACCCAAGCAAAAAAAAAGACCCTTAATATCAGCATTTTAATATTCTTCCTCTCTTTGCTGTGTGTTTTAATTGTCAAGAGACATTTTATTAAAAAGGGGGCATGAAAGTCTAAAAGTAAAACTAACAAAATAGTGTGAATGTGATCAGATATCTGGGGGGATAGTTATGGGTTTTTTAAGTGAGGATTTACTGAAAGGTTGTAAGCACATAGTATGTAGTGTGATGCAGATAACCTTCCATTTGGTGTAAATCCAGACTATTTGGTCTTAAATGGTGAAGCTGACAAAGGTCAAGACCAAACAGGACTTCTATCATTTTACCGTCTTCAAATAACTTCTAAAAGTGTCATAGTGATTATACAAGCGCTATTTTATCTCTTTGTAATTGTTAAAATTCATGACAATTGGATAGAAACATAGTTATCCTGAAATATTACAAGGGGAGGCTGGAACCAAACCTGAAACCTTCCTATTGCAGGATGACTATTCTACCCAATGAGCCACAGCGTGTCACAGGTTGCTACATAAATACAGCAGCAACCTAGGAAGACATGAACGAGTCTACATGGTTTCCTACAAGAGTTTTCAGATGGTAGAAACCCGCTTTGGCCTCTCTCTTTGGTGATTAACCAGTTTGAACCTCTTTCTCTTCTTCTGAGCTAGTTGTTATGCAAACTTTTAAACTGTTGCTAAAAATTAAGATGCAAATTAGGTATACTTCCATCTACTTGTTTGGTGCAGAGAATACATTACAGAGAATGTAATTTGGTCAGAAGTTGATGCTACGTATGGCTATCATAAACAAAATGCAATGAAACTAGCTTGGATCACAC